GGATCCCCACGGGCCGTAGCCCATTATTGGCTCCTGAGCCATTTGGAACCAGGTCGCAGAAGTGCTGGGCATGTGCGTGCACAGATGCACATCCCCACTTACACGAGCAGCAGGCGAGTGTGTGTATTCCATTTGTGCAAGCAGCAGGCATGTGTGCCTGCAGCTCGCACAAATGGAGCTGCGTGCGCGTGTGCAATTGCTGGCCACTGGACAGAACCATATCCCCCCCCCCCCGCTGGTCCACAAAACTGGAAAGATTGGGTAACTCTGGTTTGATATACAGATAACTGCACAAATTGCCTGGATGAAATGTATAGGTTTAGTATTTTGAACAAACCAATTCAACTTTAATATACCTTATGTAGCATTTTTATTGAACAGATTTGGCATTCTGATCCTAAATGAGAATAGTACTGAATTTGCCTATAACATCAAAGCATTGTAATTGATGCTATCTCACTTTAGCATTAAAAAACATAATCATCCTTTGAATCAAACAGTAAAATAGCTCTTGTAATCTTAGGGAAAGTGATCTTAAACAGCACTTAGGCCTTGCATACCAATGGTATGATTATTATTTTTTTAAAAAAAAGCTACATTAATCTTTCTCTCTCTCCAACACATTCTCTTTCACTGGCTTTTTGACAACCTACTATTTATTGTAAGTGTTCTCATTCCTTATTGTGAGCATTGTAAGAAATAATCCTCCCCAATTTTCACTTTTCCTAGATTCCTACAAGAATTTACTTCTGTTTGAAGCCAGCTTCCCCAGGAGCTACCTTTCTTAAGTGACTACCTACTTAAAGCAGTTACTGGACTTAGTCTGAACTTGACAATACATTTCATCTCAAAATAGTTTCAAATCTTTCTTCCTAAATTCTGCTTTAATTAGTTAAGCTACAATTGCTGCACATTAATATGTCCCTATTCATTTCCATCATGCCTTTCATTTAGGAGCTCAAAGCATTGTACTCAGTACTTTCAGAGAGTTGGATTGAAAGAAACTGATCAGCCAAAGTTAACCATTGAGCTACCATAACCAAAGAATAATTAGAAATTTGGTCTCCCTGGTCTTAATCCAACACTTTAATCACTCTACCACACTGCTTTACCAATACTATTTCACTCAACCACACTGCTTTACCAATACTATTTCACTCAATTATTGTTCTCCCAACTAACCGATTGCAAATTAATTATGATAGTTTATCATGACATCCTGGCTTTCCTATGCAAATAAGCTCAACTAAATACTTTGCCTATGTGGCAAATCTTAGAATTGAGCAAGCACCCTATTCTCGTATCTCTTTCTATACACATGCTAACCATTCTTTTATTTTTTCCCCATACTGGAGGATTTTAAATCTAAAAAAAGACTGTGTGTTTTTATCAATCTGTTACAAAGGAAAAATAATTAAAATTTGAAAATATGTAATAATTTGCTCAATAAAATTAGTGTTCTCACTGCTAAATTGTGAGCATTGTAAGAAATAATCTTCCCCTGATTTTCACTTTTCCTAGATTCCTACAAGAATTTACTTCTGTTTGAGGCCACCTTCCCCAGGAGCTCCCTTTCTCTACTAGTGGCTATCTACTTAAATCAGTTAGTCTGAATTTGACAATACATTTCATCTCAAAATAGTTTCAAAATCTTTCTTCCTAAATTCTGCTTTAATTAGTTGTCCAGTTGCATTTTACAACCTGATTCAAATAATTCATTTTAGAGCAGGTTACACATGGCAAACTGATGTTTTGTATATTGGGAAAAGATTATATTTGGATGACTTTTAAAAATCCTTATTGTAGTTTGATTCATCAGCATGCTTTTGCTTTTGGTCTTCTGACAAAAAACTTCAAGCAACTTCAAGTAATGCAGTTTTCCTCTGCTTTCATTTAGTCAAAATATTTGCTCTGATTTCTTCTGCACCCCATCTACTATAGACTCCTTTCCTAGTATTGTAAGCATTTTTAGTAAAATCTAAACAGAAAGTAACTGAACAATATAAATCAGAGACTTTCCATTCCATGTTTATAAGATGTATAAAGAATGCATACATATGCCTATCTTATTTTTTTCAGTTTTCATAAATATTCAGGTAGATGAATGTTGTCCATACAAAGCTTCACTGAAATATTATTGTACAGTTTATTCATGAATCAACAGCATTTGTTGCATGCTTAATAGTTACTTAGCTATGAACATTAAATTAATTTTGTTTTGTTTATCAGAGCAGTGCTAGGTTTCCTAACTATCTAGCTGTAATAATAGTATGAAACAACTATAATCACTGGCCATATTAAGTGCCAAATATCATAGAAAAAGCTGGATGGCTGATTTTTTTTCTTAAAAGAAGGTTTTTTTTGAATTGTATTTCTGCTGTCCATTCTATATGTGTTTTTCATTCCAAACACCAGTGCTAATAGTTATGGTGGCACTATAGCTCTCATATCTGTTCATTGGATATGGCTTCCAATGAGAGAAGTAAGCAGTGGGGTATCACAAGGTTCCGTCTTAGGCCCAATATTCTTCAATATCTTCATTAATGACTTAGATGAGGGAATAGAAGGGGAACTCATCAAATGACACCAAACTGGCAGGAATAGCCAACACTCCAGAAGACAAGCTCAGGATCCATAAAGATCTTGACAAACCTGAACAATGGACCCTAATCCAACAAAATGAGTTTTAATGAGGAGAAAAGCAAGGTTTTACATTTATGCAGGAAAAATCAAAGATATAAGTACAGATTAGGCGAGACCTGGCTCAAAAACAGTAATTGTGAGAGGAACCTTGGAGTCCTAGTGGACGATCACTTGACTATGAGCCAGCAGTGTGCAGCAGCAGCCAAAAAAGCTAATACAATCCTGGGTTGTATAAACAGAGGCATAGAATCAAGATCACGAGAAGTATTAGTACCGCTTACCCTAGTAAGACCACACCTGGAATACTGCAACCAATTTTGGTCACCATACTACAAAAAAGATGTTGAGATCTTGGAAAAAGTTCAGAGAAGAGCAACTAAAATGATCAAAGGCCTGGAGACTAAAACATATGAAGAACGGCTGCAGGACTTGGGTTTGGCTAGTCTAAAGAAAAGAAGAAACGGGCAACATGATAGCAGTATTTCAGTATTTGAGGGGCTGCCACAAAGAAGAGGGCATCAAACTATTCTCCAAAGCACCAGAGGGCAAGACAAGAAACAATGGTTGGAAACTGACCAAAGAGAGAAGCAACCTGGAATTACAGAGAAACTTTCTAATAGTGAGGACAATTAACCAGGTGAATAGCTTGCTCTCAGAAATCGTGGGCACTCCATCACTGGAGATTTTAAGAAGAGACTGGACAGTCACTTGTCTGAGATGGTATAGGTTCTCTTGTTTGAGTGGGGGGCTGGACTAGAAGACCTCCAAGGTCCCTTCCATCTTCTATTCTATTCTATTCTATTCTATTCTATTCTATTCTATTCTATTCTATTCTATTCCCCTAAGAACTCTGGGAATTGTAGTTCTTTGTTAGAACTGAAACACTGAATTATTAAATATACAAGATGATGGACAAAGTGACAATTATGCCATTATCACAGGAATTAGAAAGCAATGTATTTTATTGTTCTTCAATAGCTCGCACATAAAAGAATATTAATCATACTATTTAATCACCTTTGTAGCCTACACAACTTTCTTCTAAGGAACTTTTCCATTTGATCCTCACAACAAACCTATGAAACAGATTAAAAATGATGGATACATGATCGATAGCCCGAGAACTAAAGGCAGAGCTCATGGTGATCTGTAGTGTCAATACAGGTAATGAGCCAAATCTCCAGATACCCAGAGGAAGTTCTAGCTGTTATAGAATGAGCAAGTGTATAAATGTTACTTTAAATGTTATTTAAAGAAAAACTTAGTAATTAAATTTCAAGTCCTATAGTAAAGTGTTGCTAGCCTATAAAACACAACTCGGAAATCCAGAATCTTGACATTCCTATGATAGTTAAGGAGCAGTAAAGAAAGGAGATCCTGATATAAATGGGATTTTATTTTGTAATTTAAAAATAAATAAATTATTTTTCCTGAGTTTGTAATAACTTAACAAATTTATTCTCTTAATGCAAATAAAATTTGCCATTATAAACGTATTGCAATAGGCATGACTGTGGCTGGAATACTATGGATTATACTAGCTTTGCAAAGAGTTATTATATGCACTGTACTTTGTGCTATAATATGACTGGGTAAGATTAAAAATCCAGATTTTCTTTAATGTTTCTACTTCTGTAGTTTCTATGCAGTCTGCATGTTCAGTACAATTCCTTGTTTACAATTACTCAAAAAATAATATTATTATTAGCATCATTCTGCAGCAATTGCAGAAAAGACAATCCAACAGAAATCTGAAAACTAACATAAAGATTTCCTCAGAGAACTGTAGTATGTAAACAAGTGGATGATGACAAGGAAAGAAACTGAATGAAGAAATGAGAATGGAAATAAACTTTAGGGAACTTTAAAATGGTTTTAAGTGATAAGTGAAAAAAGTGATACAATTCTTGATATACCAAAAAACTTCCACATAGCTACACTTCTCAGAATTCTTAAGGGGGGGAAGCCAGATCAGAAAACCTGGTTTATAAATATTGTAGTATTATTAGGATTTCCATTAATCCAAGTGTTAAATTCATGTTAGAGGCTTTAATTATTTAAAGTGGTAGTGATTGATATGTGAATAAAGTTGCTGAAAATTGTATTCACAGAATACAGTCATTATTTTTATCTTTTTTTTATCCTTTAAGATAGTTTTCATTTGCTACTCACCACATTTTTCTCTGCAATGATTTTATTTACATTTGCTTATCAAAAATACAGATATGTACATCTGTTTTGTTCATTCTATTTTGTTTCAATTCATTTTAATGTAAAAAAATATTAATTCCTCACCAATGTTATGTTTGCCACCCCGAGGGAAGCATAACAGTAATGTAATGTTTCTGGAGAAAAGAAAGGACTATAAAAAACTGGATAAATTTACACTGAGGGTGGAAAGAAGAGAGAGAGGGATGGGGGAAAAAGAAAATTAAAGGTTGACCATGTATTTCTAGTCATAGGAAATGGGACATAATAAATACGTACAGATTATTTAATCCCATCTTTTAGCAATCTTTAACATTTTCAAGCATCGCATATTGCCTTGAAAGGTATTTGACTGCTACAGAATATGCTTTTTAGCTTAGCAAATGCAAAGCTTAGCAAATGCAGAGTTCCCCACTTAACAGTCAGAATTGTGCTGAGACCCTTAGGCAACTTATGTTGAGCTTTGAGAAGATCGATCATCGTGTGGGCTCCCATCTGAATTTTCTGTCTCTCCTTCTGAAATAACTTGCATTGGGGTGTTATATAATCTGCAGCGAACACTGTATCGGCTACTGCTTGCAACTGGAGGTGCTCGTGATCGTCCTACACGTGAAGATGCTGATGTGAGAAAACTTTTGGAAGAAAACCCTTCTGCGTGTATCCTTGGGGGAGAAGGAGAGAGAGGAGCTAATGCCTCGGCGCTTGATGAGGCTTGGAAGGGTTCATCTGCAGTTTGAAAAGTATCTCTAATTAGTTCTCCAGGAGATTTGGGACAAACAGGACTCTTTAATATCTCAGTGGCTGACATCCTGTAGCTAGAATCAGACCGACTACCTTTTTTCAAGAGCAGTAGTTTAAATTCCTCATTCGATGTGCTGGACTTTTTGGCATTCCGATAAATAAGTCCAGGAGACCTCTGGCTGCAAGGTGAATTTCCCACACTGGTAGGAATAAGGGGGATACTAGTTGTAGGTGAGGTGCTACTGACAGAAGACACACTATTATTACTAGGTGAAGCTTTCAGTCTGTTCCTTGAAGAAAGGTCTCCAGAATCCTTTCTTCCGAGCACTTTCCTTTTTGACCTGTTATGAAAAGAATTATATTCAATATTCATGGTATTGAAACATAAACATCATATCTATGTGAATTTATCTAATCACACATAATCAAATTTGATACAATTATATGTTATATGGCATAGCATTTTGGGATCCATTGCCTAGATCCAGAAATTTAAATCATATCTCATTATAGGACTCCCCTACTGTGCTATTAATAACTACATACCTACAAACCTAATTCATCATCCATGAAAATGAGGACTCTACCTTCCAGATATTAGACGTGGTAATGCTGCTTAAACTGGAGAGGCAAATGGAAAAATTGTAAAACAAAAAGACCAGAGCTGGTGAAATGGAATTTAGTTATATTGTGGCTCCTCTCGCCCCTGATAATTTAGGAAATACTGCAAAGCAAAAAAAATAAAAACTTGGACCAAGACTGCTGCCAGTAATATATGGTAGGCATGATATGCAAATTATGATGAATATCTAGATCACTACAAGATTTTTTTAAACTGTCGAACATCCCAAGGTCACTACCTTGACAGAGTTTGGTATCCTTATATGAAGATCAGTAAGATTTCAGGTCTCCTCAAGTTAATCTGTGCTGCCTCATCAAGCCTAGGAAGGATGAGCAAAAAATGCTGGAAATGTACACCTAAACTATATATACTCCCAAGTCATGAAAGTTATCTCAGCTGCTCAGGTAAAATGTGACAATGTTTATATTGGTCAGCAGAGATATAAGAAGATGCTAGAAGTGGCTGGTTACTTTTAGCAACTATGGCAAATACTGTGCAGGAGAAGGCAATAGTAAGTCACTTCTATATTTTACCAAGAACACCACATGGATAGTCACGATTTGCGTTATAGTGTCAGATGATGGCATATCAGGTTAAATGGCACTGAACATGTTATATAGGATGAGCGAGGATCATTTGGACTACAAACATATTTATGGTATGGCTAGATTAAATCATCTTGACATCTAACTGCTGAGGCTGCTATGAAGAAAAAAAATCCAAAACTGCAAAAATAAAATTACACTGGGAACATGGAATGTAGAAAACATGAACATGGGGAAAGCTCAACCCCATGAGAGACAACAAGAGACAAATGAATTAGCTACATATTGACATCTTAGGCATTATCTAATAGTAATGAACTGAAATTGGCAACTTTCAATCAGAAGATCTTACTATTTATTACAATATAAAAAACAAAAAAGAACAATGTTGATATAGTCAGAAAAGATATAGCAAAGACTATATTTGCATGCAATAGCATCAATGACTGAATAGCATCAGTTAGACTTAATGGAAAACTCTTTGCTATAACAGTTATTCAAGTTATGCTCCAACTACTGATGTAAAAGAACCGGAGGTTGGTGAAATTTATGCTCATGTTCAAATTTAAATTGATAGAAAATGCAAGCAGTCTGTACTGCTTGTGGTTGTAGACTGAAATATCATTGTTGTAAGTAGCAAAGAGAGAAATGTAATTGGACTATATGGCACAAGAAATAGAAATGAAGCAGAAGAATGGTACCAGTTTTTGCCAATCCAATGATGCTTTTCATTACTACATAGTCTTCAAACCAAAAAAATGCCAATGTACACAGACCTTCCCAGACAGACACAGAAATAAAATGGACTATATTATTGGTAAAAGGAGCTAGAAAAGCTCAATAAATACAGCAAAGATATGGCCACAGGAAATGCAGCAGCAGAAGCAGTAAAGATTCTACTCAAACTATGGCAGCAAATCTGGAGAAATACATAGTGGCCAAAATTGGAAGACATGAATCTGCATATCAATATCAAAGAAGAGACTTACCAGATTATGCAAAATATTGTACAATATGCTACATTTCACATATTAAAATAATGCTTAAGATCACTCGACACAAATTAGAACTCTACATAGGAAAAAGAGACAGCAGATGTTCAAGCTACCTTGAACAAGAAACAGGAAACAAGAGACATTAATGGGAAAGTCAAAGAATACCAAAAAGAAATCAATAATATGTTCAATGAGACATTGAACACCGTTGAATGTTTCAACTATATCAAGCTGTGGAATATTCTTAGGAAAATTGGAATAGCAGAACATCCAATTGCCCTATGCAAAACATATACATAACAGTAGGAGAGGAAGCCATAGAACATGGTGGGGAGGGAGACAGATCATTCTGGAGAAAGTCTGTCTGTATGGTTCATCCAAGCTGATACCAACTTGATGGCAGATAATCAAGTAATCAATTAATAAAATATTTCATATAAAAGCCATGCATTGTACTTGCATCCCTGCTTTATTTGAGTGGAAACAACTTCCCTGATATTTTCTTCAGTTTATTCCTGAAAAAAACCCTCCACAATACTTTATTCTTCCTTTGTAAGGTAATTTGTGCTTGGCACAGTCTCTTCATAGTGTTTGTAAAATAGAATTTCTTCAATGGTAACTTTAGGCAGGGTTCTTACTGCTTGTACTCTTTCCCAAGCAATGCTGTGCATGCATTCACACAGCTCCACAGTGTGATCTTCAGGTAATTAATTACATGTGGGGGAAAACGAAGAGCAGTAGCAGGAGGCTTATTTATTTATTTGCATTAATACCACTGATGATGTTACCTAGTTTGGGTAATGGAAATTCTGCAAGAAAGCAGCCAAACTCAGAGAGCATCAAGGACTCCTCATTTATTTATTTGTATCATGCTTTTGCTATGTTTACAAATAACTCAAGGCGGCAAACATATCCAACATACCTTCCTCCTCCTAATTTCTCCACAACAGCAATCCTGTGAGGTGGGATGGGCTGAGAGAAAGTCTGAAATTCAACCACTTTCTCTTTTCTCTCCCAACGGTTACTTTCAGGGTAGCACTCCATTCCCTCTCTTTGCTCCCAATATACTTTTTAATAAAAAAAAGTATATTCAAAGGGGTAATTATGAATGACAGTTTAAAAATGTAAACAAGTTGCATCATGATCTATGCTTTCATTTTTTTCCAATACTTAACTTTCATAGTGAGCTTGCAAAAGGCAATTTTGATTGGCATCAATAGTGGTTTGAACTATTAAAACAATGAGCAGGGAGAACCATCTGCTTTGATAAGGTAATTCATGGGGTTTTGCAGGTTCGACTGGCACTTGCAGCAAGGAGAAATGTGGAAATATGGCCACTTATTTCACTTTCACAAAGCAATTTCTAAGGAGCATTTCCGTTGAGTTTTCATTGAAACAATATACTTATCTGATCGTCTGTAATTCCTACTTTAAACTATAGAAATAGTTATATTGGTTTAGACTGAAAAATAAAGTTTCTGAAACAAGCACTTTATCACTATGTTGAATAAATTGCTATTATGACATGCTATTATGTTATGGTAACATTAACTTACCTGTGAATTACTGCAAACAGATCCTCTGTTGTTCGTGGTTTATTTGGAGACACCAAAAACTCTTCTACTTCAGTTTGAGAATCCTCATTTATGGGTGAGATTATAGAATCATCACTCACAAAAGATTCTTCAAAAAAAGCAATAAAGAAAACTGCTGAGAATCAGGCACTAGAATTTGATTACACAGTCTCCTTAATTAATGGAATTAGGAATAATAGAATCAGAGCTAAGTACTGGATAAACTGTTAAATTAATATTAATGATAAAGGACTCTTTTGGGGCTAAAAATTAAAAGGAATTGCAGATTTAGGTATAAACATACGTAGATACTCTGTCAGGTCCCGTAGATCTCTATCGGGATACTGCCATCCTGGTGGGAGGGGGGGAACCTTGGGGCTTTCTGTGATGTATTCATTTTACTTTGTTCCTCTTTTGCTTTTTATGTATCTTCCTGGGAGATGGGAGGGGGGAGGGATGAGCCTGTGGCCATCTGCTTTGTCTCATCTCTGGAGAACCAAGGTCGAAGTGCCTGAGAACAACTTCTTATCACCTTCTCAGCTTGGACTTCTCACAACACCATCGCATCTCTGGATTGGCTCTCAATGGACTGGGCAGGTGGGAGGGGTCTGAATCTTGGGGTTTAACCTAATGTTTTCACGCAGGAATTAGAACCTCCCTGTTTTCTCTGCATTCACTACCTCTCAATAAAATATCCTTTTTATTTCAAGAGTTCGACTTTCTTGAGGGACTAGCTGAGCTGAGACCTTACCTTAGTCAGGATCTGCAAAGTGGTCAACCCAGAGCAGCACCAGCCCTATTGTGGGGACTGTGCACACGATGTCTAACCAGGGCAGCGAGCATGAAGAAGCTGAGTGTTGTGGGGAGTCCTCCACCAAAACTCAGCCCGACACAAACTCCGCCGGCTGGACAAAGGAAGCTGCCGCCCTGGAGGATCTCCTTGACGCCAAGATGGTCCATTGGCATGGGGAAGAATGAGGACCGGGAAGGACCAAAGGAGTCACCCTCACCTATGGCAGCCAAAAGCATGGCTGGAGGCACGAGATAGAAGCGCTGTATGATGATGGCAAACCAGAAGAAGAACCGGATCACGCCGACCGCCTCATGAAACAAGCCATGCACTTCATGATGGAAGCTTTCCAGGGCCTGAAAACGCGAGAAGCCATAGCCCACATGGAAAGGGATGATGGAAGCAAGAGGAAGCTGCATGCAAAAGGGGGGAATTCCTGACCTTGGAGTCAGATGCTGGTGCTGCAGAATCCACAGAGAGAGGGACAACCAAACCAGCCAGCCCTCCCCAAAGGGACCCTGGTTGTATGAATGTCTAGAGAGTTGGTGTGTGGGGGCCATCAGCAGAAGGCACCCCCTCTTGGCATCTAGTTTGATGGAGACCCCCAGAAATTGGGGTTCTTTCTCACCCATGTCCTCACCAACATGCAAGAATATGGGCGAGACATCCCCTCCGAAGGGGCTAGGGTCAGGGTGGTCATCGTGGTCCTGGAGGGGGTTGCTGCCTGATGGATGGTGACCCTCCACAATGCCAACACCCCAGAGCTTCGAAACTTCAGCCGTTTCATGACAGCACTGAGATGGAGGTTTGAAGACCCCCTGGCCGACCAGAAAGCTAGAGATCATAACAGAACTGTGAGGCAGGGCCATCGCCCAGTGGCTGAGTATACCGAGGAGTTCTGAGACCTAGCTTGCCACCTCAACTGGCTGGAAGACATCCTGGTGAGCTGCTTTAAGGATGGGCTGAATGACGACCAGAGGGGCCCCTGCTCACCTCCACGATTGGTGCATTGTGGCCGAAGAAGCAGAGATCAACCAGATATGGAACCAGTACCGATCAGGCAGGGTGTAGAGGCAGGCTCTACCAGAGAAAAAGAGGCTGCCAAAGCCCAGACAGCCCCACCACGCTTGACCACCTGCTTCAAATGCGGTAAAGAGGGTCACCGGGCGGCAGAATGCCGAATGAAGACCCCAGCAAAGAAAGGAGACTGACTGCCAGGTGGAAAGCTGATGAACCCCCCACCCCCAGCATGCCAAGGACATGGCCCTAAAGAGTGCTGAGGTCGTAGAGTTCCGTCCCTCCTCTAAATCAAGAGAGGGAACTGCGACCCCATCAGAAGAGGAGCTGGGACCCTCCGACAGTGACTACAATGACGACCCCCTGGTAAGTGGTCCAATCATGCCAGTAGCTATGCCCATAGAACTGTTAATCCCAGGCATGGAAAGAAAGCGGCCCTAAAAGCATTGCTAGACTCGGAGTGCACCAGATGCTTCATAAGCCCAACCTTAGTAGGAAAACTGAGGTCCCCCTGAGGAGACTAAAGAACCCAATTGCTTTTTGTCAGTTAGATGGGTCAGTTGTAGCCCTCTTTGCCACCTAGCCCATGGGCCTAACCATGGGAAGACACTCTTGAGACGCTAACCTTTATAGTGGCACCCGGAAGGGAATGGCCTCTCATTTTAGGATTGGCTTGGCTCAAAAAATGGAACCCATGGGTGGATTGGAGGAAGGGATTCTTGACGTTTTCAAGGAGGGAGGGAGCCCGACGCAGTGGCAGCCACAAAGCAAAGGAGGGACCCCACAGAGAAGTGGCAGCTGCCTCAAAAAGTTAACTGAACTGCACGGGGTTATAGACACAAACCTGGCCTGAGACTTCATTCAACCAGCTACACCCAAGGTGGCTGCCCCGGTTCTGTTCTGGGAGAAGAAAGATGGGTCTCTTCATCTCTGCATGGATTATAGGTGTTTGTGGAAAATGTGTAGTCCCACCCACTTGTGAAAGACATGCTGGCCCATCTTTCGAATATTCTCTAAGCTAGACTTACGGCAAGCATACTACTGAGTCAGAATTAAGGAGAGGGATGAATGGAAAACTGCTTTTAACTGCCCTCCTGGGGTGCTTCCAATTCAAGGGGCTCCCTTTTGAATTACAAGGGGCTCCCGCAGTGTTAATTCAGCTGATAAATGAAGTGCTCCATGAGCCCCTGTATAAGGGGGTTTTGGTGTATCTTGACGACATATTAATCTACACTGAAATGAAAGCAGAACATGTGAAATTGATCAAAGTGGTTCTAAATAAACTCTGTGCTGCCAAACTGTATGCTAAGCTTTCAAAGTGCGAATTCCACAAAGAAAAAATCGACTGCTTGGGCTACCGGATTTCCCACAAGGGGGTGGAAATGGACCTGGAGAAAGTGCAAGCTATGTTAGAGTGGGCAAAGCTTCCTGGGCTTCACAAATTTTTACTGGCAATTCATCACATCCTTTCCACAAATTGCCCTCCCCATCACTAACTTGTTGAATACAAGGGGGAAGGGATGGACAAACTGAAACCTAGCCAGCCATTAAAATGGACTATGGAATGCCAAGCCTCATTCAAAAAGTTAAAAAGACTTTTTTCTGCTGAGCCAGTCCTAAAGCATCCAGACCCTGAAAAACCTTTTGTTATTCAGGCAGATGCCAGTGATGTAGCTATGGGAGAAATACTGCAGCAGCAAAATGAAAAGGGCCAACTATATCCTTGTGCTTACACATCGAAAAAACTGACAGAAACCGAGCAATGTTGGGCAGTGTAGGAAAAAGAGGCCTATGCAGTTAGGTGGGCCCTCCTCACCTGGCAACACTTTCTGGAAGGGAATAAAATCCCTTTTCAGGTCTGGACTGATCAGAAAAACCTAGAGGCTCTAAAAACCCCAAAGAAATTATCCCACAAGCAAACCCGGTGGGCTCAACATTTTCAACATTTTAACTTCACCCATCGCTACTTACCAGGGGGGAGGGGGGAATATCCTAGCTGATGCCCTGTCAAGGCTACCACAATACAACAGCATAAAATTGGAAGTGATTAAACCTTTGCTCCCAGCACAGCAACTAGCAGCTCGAGTAACCACGAGAGCACAAGCAAAGAGGGAGTTGCCCCTAGATAACCCACTACCCTAGCCTTCAAACAATCCCTAGAAAAGGATGAGTGGTTCCTCAACCACAAGACCGTTTGCTTGATGCAGGAAGGGCTAGCCTGAGTCAATATAAAAGGGGAAAAAGTGATATTGCTATAGGTCTATATTACAGGCCACCCAACCAATCAGAAGAAATAGATGAACTCTTTGCCAACCAGTTAACAAACGTATGTAGGAAGCATTCCACAGTAGTAATGGGAGACTTCAAATATCCAGACCTCAACTGGGAGATAAACTCTGGAGCGAGTGGGAGAACTAACAGATTCTTAACCAACCTAGTCAACAACTTTAACATCCAAACAGTAAAGGAGGGAACTAGAAGTAAACTTACACTGGACCTAATCCTTACTAATTAAGAAGACGTGATAGAGGGAGTTGAAGTTGCCGGAACCTTGGGCGAAAGTGACTACCTCATGCTGAAATTAAATATAATGTAAACACAAACAATAGAAAACAATCCAAACAGAGTCTTAAACTTCAAAAGAGCTGATTTTAACAAACTCAGAGAGAACCTAGGAAAGATTCCATGGATGAAAATCCTAAAGGGGAAAACAACTCAAGAAGCGTGGGAAACTCTGAAAAATATGATCATAAAAGCGCAGTCCAACACAATACCACTGAAAAAGAAAAACAAGATATTCAAGAAGAAACCAGCATGGCTGCACAAAGATCTCTCTGACAAACTGAAAGACAAAAAGGACAAGTACAAAAAATGGAAAGAGGGACACATACCTAAGGCTGATTATCAGCAGACAGCCAGAACATGCAAAGATGAAGTCAGGAAAGCAAAGGCTCAGAATGAATGAAGACTTGCAACAGAAATCAAAGAAAATAAAAAAAGTTTCTTTCAACATATTAATAACAACAAAAAAGTCAAGGAAACTGTAGGTTCACTAAAGAGAGAAGATGGCAAGGAAGTAACAGGCAGTAGGGATAAAGCAAAGCTGCTTAAATCATTCTTTGCATCAATCTTCACACAAAAGAAAGTATAGCTCAACATACAAAAAAAATGTACTGCAAAAGACAAACTAGAAACAAAAATTAAAATAAGCAAGAAAATGGTAAGAGAACACCTATCTGACCCTGATGAATATAAATCACTGGGACCCGACAGATTACATCCCAGAGTTCTGAAGGAGCTGG